GGGAAGAGGTGTGCTTGCACAGCTGCCCATATCACATAGACGTGGCTGCTGCCGTGGCTCGACATGCCAGTTGTTTTCACCTGTTTTACTTTGGGAGTGCTGGTAATCCCCAGTCCAGCCATGCTAGCTCTGCCAGTCTGCCAGCTCGTAGCATGACCTCCCTGGCAGCCTGACTTCCCATAATGCTGAGGCGACTGGTAGAAGCAGCTGCGGGGAGGTAGAGGACGAAGGGGAAGGGGGGGGGGGAGAGGGAGAGGAGGTGGGGCAGGGAAAAAGGAGGTGGGGATGGGGCTGCGGCGCCTCTCTGTTGCCACCAACAATCAAACTCCAAGGAGGATGTAGGGGGGAACGAGGGGAGCAAGGGTGGGGTGAGGGTTGGGATGGTGGTGGGTCGGGAGGAAGAGGAGAGGAGATGTGATCGGGGAGAGGGGAAGTGGGGGATGGAGGGGGAACTGGGTGATAGCAGGTGGTCTTATTTGTGGTGATGGAGAAAGAGGGGACGGGACTTGTGTGCAAGTGCAAAGGATGCGGAGCTGCTGGTTGGTTGGATTAGGGGTGAAGGAGGGACGAGAACAAGTATTCAATATAGGAAGGAGCACTTGGTTCGTTCATGGGGTGAGTGTCAGCATGGCGCACAGCACAATGAGATGAAGGGCATGGCACGATGGGTGGTATTATCAAACTACCGACAACATAATGGCAGGAGAGAGTGTAACGAGGAGAAGCAAAGGCGTTGGATGACGGTGGCTGGAGATGTTGGATATGAGGAGATCAATATAGGGAAGAGATGGAGAGTGGGAGTGCAGGGGGAGAAAAGGGATTTTGCAAGGCGGGAGTGAAAGAAAAGGATGCTGATTTGGAGAGACATGAAAGACGACGGAAGGGAGGGGAGTGGGGGTAATGTGGGGGGTTGGGTTGTTACCTTGCGATGGAACCTGTCGCGATGTCATACGCCACCGAGGAGAGTGGTTAGCTGTGAGCTTCGCCCTATCTCATGCATGTTTAGGTGGAGTATGCACGCATCTGTGAGCACTGTCAAGGCCGCAAGTAAGCTGTTGGATTTAGCAAGGAGAATGGAGTTATGAGGGTGGGGGAGGAAGGGAGAGGTGGAGGAGGGAGAGAGGGAAGGGGTATGATGGTGGAGGATACACGTGGCTTGTGACACTGCAGTGCAGGACAGCCACCGTACGTGAAGACGTATATACGAAATTGTATAGTGCGCGCGACAGGGAACACAAGTAGATCAATCCAGCCCATGCTGATTAGTTACCTACCATACACTCTTAAACGCACCTCCAGATGCTGCGTAAGCTTGCACCCTCTTCATGTGGAGCCTGATAGCGGTGCATGTAAAGAGCAATGTAGAGTGGAGCTTACTGCACCACACTGCCACTGTCTGATATCCACTGCTTCTGCTGCAACGCGCTGCCCTCCCACTGCTCCCTCCTGCCCGCTCCATTCCACTCCCCGCTGACCGACTTCATCATCACCACCGTGCCACTGCAGCCCATGGCTCTGCCATGCTGCCCGACTGTGTGTCGCAAAGACGAGTTGGTACAGGCAGTTGCTGTTGGTGTGGAAGGGGGGGGGGGGGGGGGGGGGGGGGGGGGGGGGGGGGGGGGGGGGGAGTACGGGGGAGTAAGGGAGAGGGTCCAAGGAGGTAGGAACGTAGTGCTGAGCGAGGAGGAGGAACAGGAAGATAGCTGATTATGGCAATGCACACAGGGAAGGAATGCTGACATTTATTCCCCCCATCAGTGACATCGTGCCCGAAGCACCCTACTGGGCACGGATGAGCGAAGATGCGAAAGGAGGGAGGGCGTGAGCAGCAGCAATGTATGGAGGAAGACAGATATTGTGAGAGACACATTCAGATTCCCCGCCTACTCAACTTCTCTCACCTCTGTGTCGGCACGTCGCCCTACCCGTCGACATGTGCTTGCTTGTAACTCATTTGCATTTCCACGGAAAACATAACATCCCCGCATGGCCAGCATGCAACGAGCAGTGTACAGCTAGCGCCCACTTTCACGGCTTCTACTACCTCGCTCTTTTCCCCCACGGCTCACCAGCGATGATCACCAAATTCTTGCATGAGTGCACTCTCGTGGCTCTGCCATGTTGCCAGGCCGTATGTGGCAGCAATGAGCTGGGCACCTCGTGAGTCGTGACTTGTTCATTGAAGGTGCTGCTGGTGTGGAAAGGGGAGGGGGGTTGGGGGGAGAGTGCACAAGGGAGGTGCTACTTTGGGGCGAGGAGGAGGGAGGTGGACAACAGCAGGTGATGGTGTTGCGTAATGAAGGGATGCTAAAGGGAAGGGACAGGAAAGACAACGGAAGGATGCGCGGTGGGGATAGTGTGGGGTATCATGAGGTGGTACCTCGCAACGGTACTAGTGATGATTCCATATGCCACGCAGGAGGATGGTCAGCTTCTCCTGCCGGTTCCCCATGATGGCCAAACCACTACTGCTCCTCCAAGCACACATGCATTGGTTGGTGGACCCTGCACGCTCTTGAAAAGATTGGGAGAAGTGGCACGGCCGCAGCAAGTGAGTTGTTGGCTTTAGAAAGCAGAAGGGGGTTTTGGAGGGGGGGGGGGGGGGGGTGTTGAGGGGAGGAGGGGAGAGCGGTAAAAGGGGGAGGGGGGAGGGGAGTGAGAGACAATAAGGGGAGAAGGGAAAAAGAAGGGGGTTGGGAGAAAGCAAGTTTTTTCTAGAGAAGCAAGCAGAGGATAGATGTTTAAAAGGCAAAGTCGTAATGCGGAAGGGTGAAGGGGAGTAGCGATTCTGCAGCGAATCAACCCAATAGGTGTGATGATGGTGGTGGAGACACATGACATGTGGCACCGCAGTGCAGAGAAACCAGGGATTCGTCTTCCACGAAAACGTGCATAAGGAGTGTGCGCGGTGAGGGGAGGAAAGGGGAGAATGCAAGTCATATAGCGAACTCTTTGTGACCGTTTGAAGAGCACCCTTCAGTTCAGGGTTTAACACACCTTCAGGCCATGTGCCTACACCTTGTCATTCTTCAATTCAATAAGCAACGCGCGAGTTTACCCCACTCTGTCACAATCACACATTCACAGAGTATGCTGCTTCGCCCTTCCGCTCATGCCTCCCTCCTGCCCACCTCCCCTGTTCCCCCGCTGACCCACTTCATCACCACCAATGCTGCTGCTTCGGCCAGAGGCTCCACAATACTACCCAACAATGCCGTAGTGAGGGTCCATGCTGCTGCCATGCTCACTGGTGGTAGAGATAAAGATGGTCCACTCACTGTTGATACAGGACAGGCGCTGTTGGTTGGGGATGTTGAAGGTAGTGGGTGGACTCAGGGAAAGGGTGAAGAGGGTCAGGGCACATTGCTGAGCAAGGGGGACGATAGTTGATGGCACTGCATGAGAAAGCAGCTCAGATTCATTCTTCCATCAGCTCAGATTTCCCTACTGCGTTTCTCTCAACTCGGCGTTGCCCCCGCCATGCTTGCCGTCTGTTGAGAAGCGATGGGATATCTCATTGGTGAGATTCCACGACTCATGTGAAAACGATTCAGATTTCCTGCTGGGTTTCTCCCACCACGACTCACCGATGCATTGCGATTGGAGTATGGGAGCATGGAAGCATTGTAGCATGGTTTCAGCATGCGAGTGAAACAGTATGGGAGAAATGCAATGGGCAGTATGGGAAGGCGATGAAACAGTATCCATAATTCTGCCCTTCACTCATGCAGACACAGTCCTACTTCCTTCTGCTTCACTTCTGCCCTCCGCCCCAAGCTTCATGCCCTGCCTCCAAGACCCAGGCAGCACACAATGGACTTGAGCTCCCTACATGAGGCAACGTGTAAAGAATTAAGCATCCTTTCACTGTTCAAGAGACAATCTAATCGATAAAGGGCTATCGCATTGCAGACATTGCACTCAAGCTTATCTGGGAAGGAATGCCTGCCCTTCCATGCTGTCCTATCTTCCCTAAAGGGGCCCTGCAAGAGGTGAGATAGGGACATGTCAACGCTGCAGCATGCCCCTACTACTCCTACTCTTTGCACACTCCTGCATGTACTCCCCCTCGCCACTTGCCCACTCCACCACCCCCTGCCCACCCTACATCCCTATCCATTTGGCAGCCGGAGAGTAGTCAGGTTGGTCAGGGCAGTCATCTGCTGCAGCCCATTATCCGTGACTAGAGTTGCTTGCACAAAAAGTACTTGAAGCCCAGTCAGCCTCCCCACATGCACCATGCTAGCATTTGTCACACCCTTACAATCACCAAGCCCCAGCACTCCGAGAGAGGAAAGACCTGTCAGGTGAGGCAGACCAGCATCTGTCACCTTGGTCCGCTGGAGAAGGAGGTGCGTGAGTTTGGTCAAGGACCCAATGCCTTCCAAGGCACTGTCTGCAATGTCTGCGCCTCGGAGGTCTAGGTACTCCAGCCGTGGCAGCCTGTAGAGGTGCTTGATGCCCTCTGCACTGAAGCCCGAGCTAGAGTTCAAGATAATGTTCTCCAGATGTGCCATTCTTGACACATGGGCGAGCATGGCGTCTGAGAGGCCGCTAAGACCCGTCAGCTCCAGAAAATTTTGTTGAGATGCTGCCTTGATTTGCTGTAGGTGATGGATGAAGAGGGAATGAATGACATAAAAACGAGTGACCATCAAGACATCAGCAAACAATGCACCATGAATGCCCCTTGAAACAGTTGGACTTAGCAGTACTCACCTCCCATGCTGTCTTCTGATCGCCTTCACTCTGAGTGATTTGCAGGTCAACATCCTTCTCCATGCCAGCATCCTCTTGCACCGCAGCCAGCCCCCCTTTCCCTGCATTCTCCTCCCTCTCCCTCTCCTCCACCTGCCCTCTCATCTCCAAATCAGCTGCTCTTCTCCTCTCCTCTCCTCGCCATGACATATGAAGCGACCTCTCCCCCTCTCTGCACCCCACAAGAAGCAGAATGGTAGCAGTTGGAGTGACAGTTCAAAGTGGTAGAGGGTTCGGGGCACATGGGTAAGTGCAGAGGGATAGAGAGGAGGAGTGAGCTGGCAGCAGAGGAGGAGCAGCCGAGTTTGAAGTGTGGTGAAGAGAAATTGGGCAACATGGGTATACGGCAACATGAGCGACCACACAATGAAATGCATTAGGAGCAATGGTGACCAGCCAAACCAGGGAGGAGCAGGAGCAGCAGTGGAAGGGGAGAATAGCGGAAGCAGGGGAGGGAGCAGGGCAGTGGACAAACCAGATGAGGGAGGGGGGCAACAGGGGAGGGGAAGGAGGAGCAGGAGCAGCGGGGGAAGGATGAGATATGCGGCAGAGGTAGGGACGAAGGGGACAAGCGGCAGGAATGGAGGAAGGAAGACGGACGAGCACTGGGTGCACGGGATGTGCGGCTGCATAAAGACAACGAGAAGAGGTGATGACACGACGGGTGGAAAGACCAGATGAGAAAGATGATATGGGGTGGGTGGAACGAGCATGAAAGGGCGAAGGGTGGACCGGCGAAGGGTGCAGCTAGAGGTCCTATGTCTGTTGGTGCTGCGTCTGGGGGTGCTGAGCCTGCGGGTGCAGAGCCTGGGGGTGCTGGGTCTGAGGGTGCGGGGACTGGGGGTGCTGAGCCTGGGGATGCGGAGCCTGGGGGTGCTGAGCCTGCGGGTGCGGAGCCCGGGGGTGCTGAGCCTGAGGGTGCGGAGCCTGGGGGTGCTGAGTCTCAGAGTGCGGAGCTTGGGGGTGCTGAGCCTAGGGGTACTGCTTGTTCTAGAGGTCGTGCGGGTGCCTCGCCTCGACTGTCTCCCCGGCCGGAGCCTCTCTCCCCGCAGCAGCTGCGCGAGTGGGTTGCTCGGCGCACACGCCTTCAGAGTGGAGCTGCCAGAGCTGGAGACTCTGCCACTGGAGGCACTGGAGCTGGAGGTGCTGGAGCAACTAGTCTTGGAGGTGCTGGAGTTCCTGCTAGAGCTGGAGGTCCTTGAGGTGCTGGAGCTGCTGGTCTTGGAGGTGCTCGTACTAGGGGTACTGGAGCTGCCGGGGCTGGTGGAGCTGGAGGAGCTGGAGCTGGAGACCCTGGCGCTGGTGGCGCTGGAGCTGGAGGTGCTAGAGGAGTTGGAGCTGGAGGCACTGGAGCTGGAGCTGCTGGACGTACTGGAGCCGCTGGTCCCGGAGGTGCTCGTACTGGAGGTACTGGAGCTGCTGGAGCTGGTGGTGATGCAGGAGTTGGAGCTGGAGGCACTGGAGCTGGAGGCACTGGAGCTGGAGCTTCTGGAGGTCCTGGAGCTGGTCGAGCTGGTGGTGCTGCAGGCGTTGGAGCTGGAGACACCGGAGCTGGAGGCGCTGGCCCTGGGGGTGCTGGTGCTGGTTTTGGAGACACTGGACGACCGCTGTGGAGAATCACTCTACAACGGTGGTGAGCTAGACTACGAGGTTGGCACGAACTATTAGGAGTGATGGTAGCTTTGCTTAGTTCCTTAGTGCTTGCACAATCACGAGAGAAATTGGCAAGAGTTTTCACTAGCAAAGTTGGAGTTACAGAATCATTCAAACAATCAATGACAAGAATGACTACATCAGGCACCTAGAAACTCTGCTGCTAGCCTGGTCGACAAACAGCACAGCATGGTCGACCGCCTGCCAGCGTTGCGTAGAGGAGCCGCGCCAGCACTGCAGAAAGGCGACTTGCCAACACAGCAAGTCGACGGTGTGCCAACGCTGCAGCTGAGCGGCTGTCCAGCGTTGCTCCGTAGATGACAGTAGTGCGCACGCTCACAGGTGCGTGCAGACGGTTGGCCCGACTTGCACCGTTGTGCATCCGTCGGCTATTGTCTGTGCGTGATGAGCCACATCGACTTCGGGATACCAACCCGAAGTCGCCTTCGTCATCACGACCTTGACGAAGTTCGCGTGCCTCCGCAGAACTCGCCAAGAAGGTGCTCTGGTCGACCACGGCTCCCGTCCAGCTACCCCCTGGTCGACGGACCCCTTCCGTCGACCAGAACTGTCAGCTGTTGTCGCCGAGCTCCCCTCGTCGACAGCTGCTCACTTGTCAGGTTGGCGGACTGCTCCGTCGACCTTCCGGTCAAACTGCCCCTCCTGGTCGATGGCCCACCCGTCGCCCAGGCCAGTCAGTTGCAGCTGTCGAGCTCCCTGGTCGACAACAACACCACAGCGGTCCCCTACAACTCGACGAAGCCCGTCGAGCAGCTCTCCCACTGTGGATGGTCGGGTGCTACTCCCCTACATCCAACCAAGTCGTCGGCGTTGCCCAAGCGAGGGAGGGGCCAACACTTGACTCCCGTTAACACTCCCCTGCCGCGCTCACGCTTGGGCCCCCAGCCCACACGACAGCTTGCCAAAAGGGTACACCTCAAGATATTGAAGATAGTTACATTACTTTGTGTAGTGTAACATTTCACTTGGTGTAGGCCCTAGTGAAGGGTAGTTTCGAGACCCTTCGTGGTTGGGGACAGTGTGGCACTGTTCCACATTACTGTACCTCGGCTCTTGGGGTTTGTAGGAGCTGGGAGTCATTCCCAACTCGTAACTCTTCCTATCTTGTGTTCTAAGACTATAGTGGCTGCCATAGTACCGTTCGTTCAAACCGACGCTGTGTCGTCAATTCTTTATCAAATCGTGCAATCTAAATTGCTAATTGTAGACGACGTAAAGACGCTCCAGATCCAATTTGAATCAAGTCATTTGCAGCTGTGAGCAGAACGCTATCAACGTTTGAAGCCGCTGTGCAGAAATCCCTCTGTGCTCTCTATCTTTCGTTTTAGGCACATTCAAGCCTATTGTGACTATAACAGATGCAGCCCGTTACAGTCGTCACCGATCGCCGAACACTGGAGTACCTGAAAACACAGTCACATATTACACCACGACAGGCGTGGTGGGTTCAGTTTCTGGAGCAGTGCGTCCCCAACCTCAGATTGTGTACAAACCAGGGCGCTTTAACCCGGCGGATGTTATGTCACGGCCAGCAGCAGAGGAGCTGAATGTTATGTTAAATGGGACCGCAACTTCATCACTCGTTTCAGCCGGGGTTAAAACCGTGATCAGTTTTACCAACAGAGAGCTCCTAATGACCCATCCTTCCTTTTCAGCAACCTTTTTTGGACCAGTGCAGTTTCTGGTGCTGTTTGTGTACCTAATGACTCCATGCTCAGCCACCTGCTACTACACGAGTACCATGACAACCGCGCACACTTCGGAAGTGACAAGACGTATGCTGCCATTTCTCGTGACTACTACTGGCCTGGACCATCCCGGAGTGTGGCAGAGTATGTTTCTTCATGCCCTACCTGTAAGGTCAACAAAGTTCGCAACACTGCACCGACTGGTCTGTTGCAACCGCTGGAGATACCGACAATTCCCTGGAATTGCGTTTCTCTGGATTTTATCACAGACCTACCCCGTACCCCAACAGGCTTTGACAGCACCCTTGTGGTGATTGACAAGCTGTCAAAGATGGCTCATTTCATCCCCACAACCGGCACATTGACTGCTGCTAAAACTGCCAAGCTGTTTTTCACACACGTGGTGAGACTGCACGAACTGCCAACATCCATCATCAGTGACAGAGACACACGGTTCCTGAGAAACTTCTGGGCCGCATCGTTTCAGCTGCTAGGCACGCTGATATGCCTATGAACAGCCTACCATCCTGAAACTGACGGCCAGACAGATCGCATGAACAGAACCCTGGAGGATGCGCTACACTCGTGAGTAAACGCCATGCAAACTGACTGGGATCAGCACTTGGCAGCAGTTGAATTTGCCTACAACAGCAGCCCCAACATTGCCAATGGAGAGCCACCGTTTCTTTTAGCTAATGGACAGCTACCACGCTCAGTCACATCCCTCGCTCACCCTCTTCATTCCCCTAACCCAACAGCAGTAGATTTCATCTCTTCTCATCACCGCATTCTTCAACTTGCGCGAAGGAAGCTTCAGCTTGCACAAAAACGCCAAGTTCGCTATGCCAACCAGCATAGCCGTCACACCACTTTCAAGGTTGGTGATTTGGTGCTGCTTTCAACTGCCAACCTACCTCTGGTGATTGCTGGAACTTCTCGCAAGCTCGCACCCAGATTCGTTGAACCATTCCCCATCACCAAGGTTCTTTCTCCGGTCAGCTACAGCCTTCAACTCCCTCCTCACATGACCATACATCCTGTTTTTCACATCCATTCCAGCCCCGTCCACCCATGTTCTCTGCCCATCCGGACCTCCATGCGGTTGAGATCATCCTCTCACACTGTGACACCCCGGTTGGTGAATACCTCATTCACTGGCGCAACACACCTGCATCTGAGGACTCATGGGAACCCTTTTCCAATCTTAGCCATGCTCCTCGTGCCATTGGAGTGTATCTTGCCTCGTTGGCACCGAGGACGGTGCCTTCAGGGATGGGAGGTAATGTAACAAGGGGCACCTGCGCGGGAGCCAGCGTGAAGCGTACGGGAGGGAGTGACATGCAACAGCCGCGTGCAATGGTGAACGTGGGCAGTGCAGGGGATAAACGTGGGCATGATGTGGGGGACTCACGTGAGAAGGACGAAACAGAGGTTTCGTGGCTTGACTGACTTGGGGGGACTTTCGCGTGGGACAGGTGGCGGAAGTCCATAATTGAAGGAATAGGAATGTAACACGTCTGCAATTGCAGTGAGTGGTACAAATGTAATTAGGAATGGGAATGCGGTTCGATGTCGGGGCTGGCCACCCGAATCGACATTACGAGCCGCATGTCTGAATTGTAAAATTGTACATACAAAATGCATTCGTAGGAATTAGAGTAGTTGTTCTTGTTCCTCTTTCTGTTTGTTGTTCTCTCCTTCTAAGGAGAATCCCTTTGTGAATTTCTCAGCCACAAACAACTTGAACAAGTCCAAGTGCTGTGAGCTTGTTCCACGTATCGTCTTCTTGGCGCTTCTGCTTCCCACTCCTCTCTGTCTCACTTTCACTCGCACTTTTGAATCGCCAGCCTTGCCACCACGCAGCACGCACTTAAGTTCGACGGACTCCAAGAGTTGCAGAACGCGGTAGTCCGGGCAACTAAAGGTACGATTCTTCTTACACTATGTGAGCCTTGCATTTATTTTCCTGGTCTCGGCCTTACACATTGCAAGGCCGCGTAGGACCTTTAAAGCTCGTAGGTGTCTGAACCTGATATGCAACGTCTAGTTACAATTTCGAGTCATTTACTACAAATTCATCACACCGCAATACCAATTTATGCATGTTAACCTTGCGACTTCAAGTGCTTCTTTCCCTCGCCTTGGCTTAGGCGGTCACACTGTCGTTGACCGGCTC